CTTGAAGGCACAAAGATTTGTTTTCACTTTAACATGATGATGCCCCTCTTCATTGCATCTGATGAAGTACAGGTACATGTACAATGTAGTTGTTGCTACGGAAATGCAAACTTTTATTCTTGTCAGTCATATAAAGTGCAACATGTATGTACCTTACTTTTCCATTTGATTCTGCCTGATTAACACAGCTGCCCTCCACTTATAGTTTAAAGGCTTAGATCATTAATTAATCCAAAAATAACTGACCAAATTATTGTTAAGAACCTTACTTGATTTAAAATAGTAATGGCATTGGCACTAAACTCCCTGTGAAATTACTCCTTCTGGCATGCTGTCACTTTGAAGAAAACAATAAGAAGGTCATTTCTAAAGATGAGTCAAGTGACGCATTTTGGGAAATTTCTGTTTCACATGAGTGACATCGCGTAGCTGCAATCAGCTGAATGAGAATGTGTCCCGGATGCTGATTTCGGGCGCGATTCAAAACATGACTTAGCAACTTTTGAATTGAAACTGAGATCCTAGAATATTGTTTTCTCGGAATATACAGCATTCACAGAGCTAAAATTTCATCGGATTAGTCTCTAGATTTTTAGCACTTTTATTGCTTCAAACGAAACAAATGCACTAATGACAAATGATCTACCGGTACCCTACCTTTAAAAACAAATTGGAACAGTTTTGCAACTCTGAACAGCTATCAAGCAATTCCCTTGATGATAATTCCAGCATAAACAAGTTTTGAATGACAAGCATCAAGCAGCCCCCAAAGCCTGGGCAGACATGTCTGACTGAATACTCAGGTGGCAACCACACTATCGGTACCTCTGAAGCCAAGAAAAAAAGTGCACACAGGAAATAATGGCTTATTTTCCCAACGTGATAAAATTATGACAATTTGATCTTTTTTTTCTGTTCTCCTTTCCTGGGACTTGAAGAGTTTATAGAGGACTCCTGGTGAGTTCATCCAAGAGACTTCAACTGGAATGCCGCACCTGCTCAAACATTTTTGAAATGTGGGAGTGATTTATCATCTGATGTAGACTTGGGAGTCTTTAAACAAGTACAGACGTAAGAGGCAAGGAATAAATCTCAGGATTAGACAAGAATCTTCAGGGAAACTGCAGAATTTACTTCAGGGAAGTAAGTTAAGTTGATGCATGGACTCTCAGGAATGTTGTTATTGGACATAGAGCTGCACACCTGTGTTAGATAACCTTTGTGACTAAATTGCCAGTTTTCCAGTGATTGGAATATAAATTTCAAATTTAATTTTATAAACTATGCTTTCCATTCAGTCTTGTTTATTTTCAGTGAAATTGTGGGGGAAATGTGCCTGAGTACATGTAACTCATGGACACTTTAGAATTTTCAATTGTGTGTACATGTTTGCGAAGTGGAGAACCAATTTTTTCACATACATGTGTGAAATCACCATTGAACAAATTTCAAATTCAGCCGTTGGGTAACACTTTCCCTTGAAAAAATAAACCTAGCTGGGATAAAAATCATAAAATAAACATCCTAAAAGAATGATTGGACAAAAGACTACAGGTCTAGTCATCAGGTAGGATAATGTATGAACATGCACTATCCCAAGAGGCAAGACCATACACTTACAGTGCATTCCCAAAGTTTATGAAATGGAAGAACCTGGGTCATAGGTCAATTCCATCAAAGTAGGGTCAGCTAAGGTCAACCCTGTACATATTTCACTTCTGCCTGGGGTCTAGCCAAATTGTTTTCTTTCTATTGGATGGCACCTCGGGAAAATGGTTTGATCCAAAGTCACTTTGATATCATGTTAAGTACTGGATCAATCCAATAAGAATTGGGGATGTTCATTTTGGTTAGTACATAAATAGTTTAATTAAAGGTAATAACTGCACTAATTAGAATGTCCTGAAAAGATGTATTATTGCAGCCAAAAGTTCAACATTTTTTTACGTTGATGCATGCACACGTACACGTACTTGGCTGAGATAAATTGTCCATTGTATTTGTAAATTAAAAGTTGATAAAAGGAATACTTAATATTTGCATCTGTTGTCATGGATGCTAACATTATGAATGCAGTGGTATGGTTCAGTTGAAGACTAAGTCAAATTGTGTGGCTGAACTGAACTGAATAATCATCACTTTCAATGTTTAAACATTATCATTAGCATTATGTAATAATATTTATCATCTTATCAATTTCATCATTTAGGCTATCCAGCAAAGTAATGTAATCAGCACAATGACGCTGACATTCCACATAACATTTAGGAATTGTATGAAGCAAGCCTTTTATGCTCTGACCTATGGATACCTGTATCGGTAGATAGGCATACAATTATAAAGTGATGACAAGTATGTTGAAAATGACAAAGTCATTCTGTCATTCTCAGAGTACTGCCATCCATTTACACATACAGGCCAACACTGTTTCTTGAGGATGTTTACATAGGACTCTATTATTAGAGTACATGTACTTAGGAATGAACATTACAGTTACATGCAAATTCCCATTTAAACTGTCTACACGAGCCCACCTCACTTAACCATAGTGCTATTACCTCCCCTCTGCATAGAATGCACACCATCCAAGTCCCACGCCTCATCACTTGAATCTGTGATGACAAGGTTAGACTATTCCTCAATGATAGGGGTGGTTCATATATAGTCTTGAGGGGCATACTAAAGAGTTCCCAAAACAAACACAGACTGGTTCATAATATAAATAAGGCTAAAGAGGTCCTTTAGACCCAAGGCAAGATAAACACTAAAGATTCTTGCAACAAGAAGAAAGTGTTTGAAGTGGAAGATCTTCCATTCATAAAGTTGATCTCCTTTAATCCAATGTACGGTATCTTCCTTTGTTTACAAATGAGATTTCTGTAAACAAGGATCCCACCAACTGGACAGGTGCCAATTATCAGGCACTGCATGGCAAAGCAGAGTACGTGGACTTCTTGTGTGTAAACAGGTCTATGAACTGGCATTGCATTGTGCAGCTCCATGCTAGGTGTCAACTTCTCATACTTACACTAAAAACTACATGGATCAAGTTTGAACAAACTTTGACCACATTAAAACATTTATTAAGTGAAAACACTGTTTTCACACTACCAAAAGGTTTATTTCAGTTAGAGAAATTTTCAATGAAATAGATTTTTTAATGGAAGACACCTTCAATTAGACTAAACAAAAAGCGATAAATTATTCAACAATAGAACCTCCAGGAAACAAACACTCCAAGCAATTTAATACTCTACCACATCAACAGAGATTACAGTGGCCATGAATAGCGCCCTCTTTTGACATTCTCTTACCTTTCAAAGACAAAAATGGCAAGGACCATTATCAAACCCTATGACCACACAAAGCAACCGTGAAATGCTGCATAATTTATGGTTGTTTGTAAGAAACTCTACTCCCCAAATGAAACCCTCCCTGGTATGATATTGAAACCTGGATGTTTATGAATGCAGCTCAGGGGTTACTGAGCACAAAAATGCACCGACAATTTTTGGAATTCCAAACTGTCCAAAAATCAATGATTAACAGCGTTCAGAAATATGTAATAGCAGATGGCAACCAGCAGTAAATCAGGACTTGTGTTTTCTTGTATTCTTCTCTTTCCTTCCATGAGGCTGCGTCTGAATCGCTTGTCTACAGCTATTGTCTAGGTCTCGCTTGTCTACAGCTATTGTCTAGCTATTGTCTGCCTACCGGAGGCAACCCGTGCTTACCTGGGTCGTTACTGACCTCCTGGTTAAGATCCCTAGAGGATGTTTCAGGAGGAAACTAACCAAGTACCAAGTACCAAGTTCATCCATTGAAACTACATGGGAACAAGCTTACATAGTTATAGTTCTGGAAGCCTGCTAGATAATTGGACATGGTTTCAGTTCCACGACCTAAAGATCAATGGTCCAACAAACTTGACCGAGTACAGGAAAAATGCTCAACTTGGGTCTTAGGCCAAAAAAAAAAGTCTCCGGTTTCTGGTTTGAGCGCGCGTCGCCGTAGCCATGCGCGTCCGCAAAATGAAAAAGGTTTTTTTCAATGAAAGATGATGTCTCAAAACCGCCAAACTCACTGGTTTGACTGGAATCCTGCTGCTACACAATTTTAACGTGTTTTTGGATGGGGTTATGATCGAGAATAAGCTTTATGTGGCCTCTCTGGACTCCCATATATTTGCACTAAGTTTAATCAGGCACCATTTGCAGTCATCAGCCGACATTTGAGGCAAAAAAAATCAGGTAAAAAAAAAAAAAAAGCCGCGTCGCCGCACCAATTATTGGGCAAGCTCCATACCAGAAACCGGAGACTTTTTTGGGGGGGGCCTTCCCTCAAGATTTTGAAATCCTGTGAAAAGGTCTTTAGAAAAAGATTTTTTTTTAAATGTTGAAACTCCAGTCATTGTAAAGAAAAAACAGACTACAGGGTTTACAAGTCAAATAAACGAAACACAAACGTCTGGACTATTGTTTTATTGAAGGTCTGCATGTAGCACTTTCAAAATCTAGGACATGACAGCCCAATTCAAAACCTTTTTTTTTAGTACAAGAATCATTCAAATCACTCATGTACTTTTTAAGTTATGGAATTTTAAACACAACCACCGTTTTAAAGTTCTGTCCACGGATCACAAAAAAGGTGTGCATTCTTTCAGCAAAAAAAATTCACACACATCCCTATGTGATTTGTGTTCGTTTTGCTGAAAGAACATGGAACTTTTTGTGATCAGTGGACAGAACCTTAAAACGGTGGTTGTGTTTAAAATTCCGTAACTTGAAAAGTACATGAGTGATTTTAATGATTCTTGTGCTACAAGAAAGCTCTTGAATGGAGCTTTAATATCCTAGATTTTGAAAGTGCTACATGCAGAACTTCACTAAAACAATGGTCCCAACATTTGGGTTTCGTTTTTTTACTCACCCTGTACATGTATTTCACACGAACACAGAAATCAAAATAAGTATGGACATGTACATTGTACTTACATGTACTTATTGGAGCGATTTCCCCATCAGCAAATGAGACTGGTGTTCATGATTATCTTTGATGTGTAGCCTTCAAGGATCAAATCTGGTTTCAATCTGTAAAGAAAAAAATATCTGAATTATCAGCCATTGCACATTGATGGCTTTCTAATTCAACTCAAACCCTGACATTATATCGTACATGTTAGTCATAAATTGAAGCATGAATTCCACAACTTTTTTCATGTCCCTGTTACATTTGACATATATTATTTTATAATTCTGATGCATTCCTTCATGCAGTCATCCTCCAAGAGTGATTATGAATAGCAAACTACCTACCCAACAAATAAAAACAATCATAAAATGAAGTCATTCCTATAATGAAGTCATTCCTATTTCTTAATGATCAATACTTGAATGGTAAATAACAAAGTACCAAGGTAACAGGGACAGGTGAAAAAAGTCACACTTTGGAGCCTAAATTGATAGAATGACCTGTTAAGGTTGATTCAAACCCTTTGCATTTCCATCATCCATTTTTTGTGATAGTTGAAGAACATCCATACATTTGCCAGGTCTTTTGCAACAGGAAGGCCATTTGCAATGTACTAAGTCAAGTCCATCACAATACCATCATAATTCCTGTCAAAAGTAAATGACAAGTTCTTTCACAAGTCCAGTCGTAAGTAACAGAGAATGCTCTCTAACAACAGAATGCTTTTATCGCAGTTCTTTAAAACAGCTTAAACATGTAACTTGACAAGTGACTTGACAAAGGAGAACTTATGATGGAGTTGCGATGGACTTGTGATGGACTCGACAAGAACACTGCACAAAAGCATATATCCACCCTCCACTTTATCCTTTGATTGACAACACATCCTCATAAAGATCCAGTGTTTATCAACAAGAGCTGAATAAAACTATAGCCTTAATAGCTGTGCTAAGTGTCCAATGGTCCATTATGGACATTGATGTGAGCAAGTTGAGGTCAAACATCCAATATTTGGTATTTTGTCAGGTCCAGACCAAAAATGGGAATACCTTGTAAGGAAACCATGTTAGTTGTTTATTTTTAAAACTGGGAAGTCACAAAAAGAGGATACATGTACCTCCAAGCTTTACTCTCTCTCTCTCTGCAGTGTTTTTCCATTTTTATGGCAAGAGAAGTGAAAATGAAGAACTCACCTCTTCAACCTTCATTGGTTTATGATCAGGGGTGAGATTTGAAGAAAATGAAAAAGTATGGAAAAACCAACCTGATCCGAACCGAATTCGGTTTCGGCTTGGGTCAGTTTTGATTTTGGGTCAGGTTTGCACTGTAACACACGTTACACTGTAACATACAAATGTACATACCGGTAGGATGTACCGGTATTTGCCTAAAGATATCGCTAAAGCACTAATTTCTTTTGTTCTAAACACCTTTATGGTAAAACCTCAGAAATTCTAGATTTTCAAAAGGGGTTCTTTAAATATCATGAAATCAGGAAAAAATACCGACAAATATCCTGAAATCAGGCAAAATCCCGACAAATCTCACCCTTGTATGAAATATTACAGTGCACTGAATTCTCGTCAGACCACAAGATGTCTCCTTGCGGTCAGGTTCTTCAACACATTAAGCCAACACTTCATATTACATCTTGTGTTCCACAAATTATTTGGTTTGACTTTGACAGGAGTTCCTATACATGATTTATGGACCAAATAATGCAGTGACATGAAGGATGTCATAACAAGCGAATGCCTCGGTGTTTAATAAGCCAAAATATTTACACCAGTTCTGGCCTGGGACTGTGCCATGTGGCTTCCCCACGAGTTGGTACCCAACAATTCTAAAAACTCTGTAATTGACAGAGAAATGATGGCAAGCGTTTACAAACAGGTATGTACTGGACCGAAGCACAGAACCCTTCAGTCAATAAATATATCTGCATCGGAACGGGAGCCATCTTTTATGAATAAAAGAAATTGCTGAGGCGGATTCCAAAGTTTGTCAAGTTTGTTTGTGTTTGGCCGGTGAGATATTCGCGGAATCAGGAACCTTCGGCCGGTATCCTGCATCATGATGCTGGTTTGTCATTGGTGTGAAGAGAGCACCGGGGAATAGAAAAAGAGGAAGGATAGAAATGTGTGCTTGTTGTATTTTGTCAGATGGGTGTTTATAGGATGGTGATTTATTGTAGTGATGGGATGCGTGATGGATGCCATCAGGCAGGCCGAGGGATGAGGCAAAGTGAGGGAGTTTCTTTGTCTCAAGGGATGTAAGAAGGGTGGATGGAGACCTGGGATGGTGAGGAACATGTGTACATATGATGAATCTTGAGTGAATTAATGGCAATGAGGATCAGTTTCTTTGTTCTCTTGTTTACACTGAAGATGCACACCACAAACATCTCCACTGATAAACTTTGTCCTGTGCAGATGTGGTGGGGGTGGAAGGGTTGGTAGCAGACAGAGGGCAGTGAGGAACATGTTACACATGATGATGTACCGGTAGATTGATGGCAATGTTGCTCATTTTCTTTGTTCTCTTGTTTATATACATGTACGGAGGATGCACACCACATGTATAGATCTCCCTTGATAGGCTTTGTTTTCAGCGGATATGTCATAACAAAGATGTTTGGTGTGACATTGATTACTTGTACAATGAATTTGTTCACACACTGCTTACTAAACAGATGACTTGAGTCAACAAACATGTACATGTGCTAGGCTTATCGCACACAGCTGTAAAGTAGGGGCGGGGCTGTGGAAAGAGGGAGGGGGCTGAGAGGGAGGGGTCATCTGCACCAGGAGTTGAAAATGAGACTGCACTGGTGTGCTTAGTCTAACTGAATGGATTCTTATACTGCACTGGTGTGCTTTGTCTAACTGAATGGATTCTTATACTGCACAAAGGTAACAACTTTAACAATTAACAACACAAAAAGTCTGCTTTTGTTCATGTAATGCGGTGATTCCATGCAAAGTGCAAAGGGTTTATCAAGTATCGTTTGGAAAATAGCATGTAAGAAAATAGTTTCCTGCTGTAACACTTACTTTGTTTCAATGTTAAACAGCTAACCAATCAGACACAGCAGACCCCAGATATTTGGCACAGTCCTGAAACTCCTGATCTTAACATCATTTTGGTACGAAAGGATTTTGTTGGGGGGAACTGAGAGGGTGTAATCATCATTACCAGTTGATGAGAACTAAATGCAGACTTAAGACAGAGTCAGTAGTTAATGTCGATTTGAGAAGTAACATTCAGTGTTTCTACATTCATGGAGACGGCGACAAGACTCTTACAGACAGCTCCATGATGAATCATCAAACGATGAAATGATACATTTGTTGAACGACGAGAGATGGACTTAAAGCGTCCGTCAAACTGGCCACATCTGGTCTGAAGTTTATGGACGAGTCTGCCAAGATTCCAGATTGACTGGATGAGAATGGCTTTCAGGAGAGATTGTGAGGAGGATTTGAGTGATGAGATGTGAGAGTGGTGCCAATCATTGGGAGTGATGGTTGCAAGAAACAAAGACGCAGACAGACATACATGTCACAGAATTCTGCAAAGCTTCAGGTTGTCTCGTACATGTAAGGACCATGATGAAACCAAATATAGAGTGAAGTAAAATTTGCTGAATCCAGCAACGTCAAAGAACAATGAATCATGAAACCTGTTAATAATACTGGAGTATACCATGTATAGCGCACGTAACACTCAAGGCACTTACATGTATGAAGTCAGATGATTTATGCAAAAAAAAAACAAGCATACTGGGAAACCTACATGTATCCCTTCTAGAAAAAAATCAACTGCAAGAAAAAAAATGCTCAGATAAATTTCTCAGAATGAATTTCAGTGAGATCTGCCTATAGAAAAAAAGGTGGGATATTTTTTTGTAGGCCCTACATGTATGCAATACAAATTATTGCTTCCTATATTTGGAAAGTGTGCATCTTGGTAATCATGGCAAATTAGCATCTCCTCTAGGCCTACTGGGTTTTTTTTATCTCTAATAACATTATGGTCTGTATGAGTCATACACAATGAGGCAATCTTCTTAAGATTAATCTGAAAAACTGTCTTAATTTCAGTCATAAGGACTTGCACATGCCTTTTTATGGACTATGGAGCTGGAACAGAACATGTCATGGATTAAATGCCTACATACATGTACATGTAAGTATGTACCGGTAAGTGATGTACCGGTATGTACCTGTACATGGCAGATATGATTTCAAAATGTACATGTAGTTGGTTAAATTAAGAGCATTCAGCATACTACATGTATGTTTACTTAAAATAAATTTATACTACAAAATCACAATAAAAATGTACAGTGGAAGGTCACAGAAAAAAACCCAAACTATCAGATCTCAAGTACCGGTAGGCCAATTTAAAATATTTGCTCTCACTATCTTGTTTATTCTGTAATTAAGTACCTTTGTCTTGGGAATTCTCCCCCCCCCCCCCCCCACCACCACCACATCAAAATCTGCCAGGACAAGGAGTAACCTTGACAACTAGTCACACCCAGTTGCCTTTCATACAGACTCCACAAGTATGCCCTATCAATCCAGACCCAAGTACATCCCACCATCATCCTCAACTTCCAACTAGTTAGACCATGGGGCAAGAGATATGAGCATGTAGACCAGTCAATCAGTAGACCATTGTCCAGGGACAACCACAGGGACAAGATGAAGAAAGCAGTTCAGCTAAGGTCACCAAGTCCTGTGCTATAAGACCTGATAATGACAAGTGGTACAGGAAGGGTTATTCTGTTGCTTAAAGGGAATATACAACATTAGCAAACATCGAAAAATAAAACTACCAAGTTTTTACGAAATACCTTACTACGTATGTAGGATGTTGGTAAATGACAGTCTAAAGCATCCTGTAAAATTATGGCACCTGGTGTGAAGTTATTTTCAAGAAAATATAATTTTTGTTTACATTTCCAACAACGGTCGGCCGACCACCGTTGGAAAAAACCTAACTATTTTTCAACTACTACTCCAAATTTACAATTTTGTTCAGTCCAAATTTTGTTTTCTATTGGTTACATGTTCATGAATGGGTGCAGGCCAGCTACAACTGGTTCCCTTAC